ACTAGAATGTAGGTTAGGGCAATTGGGTATAGACTTTCAGTTATTTTATAGAGATAATGTAAAAAAGTTAAGTACGAATTCTTTACTTTTATTTTGTTTCAAATAATATACATATATTTATATTTTATTATTTACTATGTTAATTTATTTAAATGCTTTCTTTTTATTTACATATAAATACATATTTGTACGATCACAAACGCACGTACGCACGAACCCATCCAACAACAACAACAACAAACATACAACCATGAAATGCGACACTCACCGTAACGAACCCATCTGCACACACAACAACAACAACAACAACACGGATTTATAAACATCTTTTTGTTTATTTTTTCTTCTAATTTTTTGTATACATATTTTAATTTCTGGAACTCCTCGATTTGCTCTGTACATAAAACAAAACACATTGCATGGATCCATCAATTATGTTGCCCCCATTTTTTATGAATGTGTTCCGCATGCGAATAGAGCTCATGGTTATGTGTATACTGCGAGCACCAATACATCCTTTGTACCCAACTCGCGCGTTGATTCGGAGAGGGCAAGCGTTAGCTCCGGCGGCCGCACCGACTCCGATACAATGTCACTGTCCAGTTGTTCAATGTGAGTAATTGGTCCTAAGATAACTCATTGTGAGCTGGAGTGCTAAAGGGCATTGAAGAGAGGCATAAATTCGGACTCTTACTTTGCTATTCTAACTTTACTAACTGCTGTTCGTATGTTTTTCCAGGGATGGCCGCCCTTACATAGAACGCAGACACAGCTCGACGGAGAGCAAGGCCATACGCCAGAGCGCCATGGCGAATAAGGAAACAAACAGCTTTCAGGTACCTAAAGATAAAGTCATTCCCAATGCTTATACATATTTTTATTAATAATTCTTTATATACATAGGTTATACCCCGCACTCAACGACTACATTCAAACGAGCATAGACCGCTGTCGGAAAATGAACTGTTGGCCCTGCTGATACCCAAGCTTGAGGAGGTGAAGCGCAAGCGTGATTTAGAAGAGCGTGCGCGCTTAGAGGTAAACAATGGAATTTACAAAAATATTTATATAGTAATATGCTGTAATCTATCCAACATTGCAGCGCATGCCCGGCACTGCATCCAGTGCCAATGATCGGGCATTCGCTGAGGCGATACGTGAAAAGTTTGCGCTCGATGAAGACAACGACCAAGACATTTTAGACCAGCATGTGTCGCGTGTGTGGAAAGATCAAACGCCGCATCGCTCACCTGGGACTATGTCACCCTGCCCGCCCATACCATCGAGAAGACGCACGGCAACACATGACTCGGGCATGGTCAGTGATGGTGCCATGAGCCTGAGTAAGTTTGATCTATCTGAATTTATTAATCAAGCTTTTCTAATTGCTGCCATCTTTTGCATGCCACAGGTGGGCACTCAATGAAGCACTCAAAATCCATGCCCGATCCCAGTTCCTGCTCTAGGAAGCTAACAAATAAATGGCCTTCAATGAACACAGACAGCGGCATCAGCATGTTCTCAGCTGACACTGTCATGAAATACAAAGATACTAGGTATATTTACCAACAGCAACTTGCAACAAATAGATTTATTTTAATTTAAATATCTTGTACAGCTCCCGCTCTGGTTCAAGCACGGCCTCAAAATTGGAGGAAGCAAAACGAAGACTGGAAGACGAGCCGCGTCGCACTCGTCGATATGCCCAACCGCAGCTACAATCCCATATGGTGGCTATGCAGCAGCAACAGCCCCTATCTACCTTTAGCAGTAGCAGCAGCGGCAGCAGCACAATGCATCATCATCAGGCTGTAGCTTGTCCACCGCCGCTGCCTATTAAGCCGCCGGAAACAGTTGTGGTGTTTTCATTCTGCGAAGAGCCAGTTCCTTACAGAATCAAAATACCCGGTACTCAGCCGACCCTGCGCCAGTTTAAGGACTTTCTGCCTAGAAGGGGTCACTTTAGGTATGTGTGCAGTAGAAGTAATATTCCACATAATAGCCAAAGATTACTAGCTTTTGTTTTGTCATTTGCAGATTCTTTTTTAAGACGCATTGTGAAGACCCGGACAGTCCAGTGATTCAGGAAGAGATTGTTAATGACTCCGATATACTGCCGTTGTTCGGAGACAAAGCGATGGGTCTTGTCAAACCATCCGATTAATCTTAAGCATTAAGTGTAGATTTTTTATTAAGCTAAATTATGAATGGGGGGTAAATAATGATTGATGTATGTACAATATGTATGGTACATCTTAGAGATACAACTCGAGAAGCTATTCCCAGAAATCAAAACTTAAATAGAACTAACTGTACATTCAATAGGCTTTTGCAAGCATCACAAACTATTGTACGTGGGGTAGGGGCGGGAAGGGGGACTGCATCGATGTTTGGTTAGTGGTAGGTATGGTAGGTAGGGGGAGTAATGTGTTTCATAATTTCGTCCTGAACATCTGGAGGTATTTTTTTAAATATACATATGCCTATGATAAGGAATGATTAATTAACACCGATAAAATGTTTAAATTGATGTATATGTATTTGTTATAAGTCGAACAACGCGAATCGTACATTTACATATGTATTTATTGTATTTTGTATGTTTTACCATATAAACTCAACGAAGATCTGACATTCATTTAAACACTTTATATATCCCGCGTACCATTTGGTGGCTCTTAATACACACAATAGAGATTATTTAGCACAGCACAAAGAAAAAATAATTGATTCAAAAATTGAAACAAAAGAAGAATTAAAAAAACAAAGCAAGAAAACAGTTCTATGGGTATTCCTGAATTCGGATTTGTTTGCTACTTTTTACTAACTATGGACTGCCTGCAATAAATTTTGTTAATATTTTTATAATGTGCATTTTATGATATGATGATATTAACAAAGTTCTATTCAACTCGACAAAAAATCAAAATATAATCTGTTTTATTTTTGTATAATCTATTATACTACATATAGTATGTATGTACATTTGAATTTATGTATTTATATATATATATATACACACACAGACACATGTATACATATATAAATATACATATGTATTGTGCTATCGTCTATATTATATACATAAATATATATATTTACCATTGGACACAAATTTCTTTTGATTTATCAAACGATGAGTGCTAATTGCTCCAATAGTTGCATAATTGCTTAACACATTAATTGATTAGTTCTACTTTCATAAGTTATCAAAAATATAACAAAACCATACAATAAATATTTTTTTAAGAAACTGATCATAACCGCAGAAATATGAAATTAATGCATACATTTATCATAGTAAAAAAAAACAAACCATATTTTATTTGTGAGCAAAATGCATGTAGATTTAATAAAAAGAAAAAAAAAAAACAAAGTACATAAAATTGACATTTAAAACCGAATTTTTATTCAATTATCATGTGAAGACTGTCATTCCGAGCACATACAAAATATATACACAATCTTAGTTAAGCTTATCCGACGAACTGGCGATATGCTAGACAGGCGTGCAATCGTCCCGCTGGCAATGACTTAAGTAGTTCTGTTCGTTAATGAACGTATGTGTGCATTTGGGGCAGTGAAAGCGTCGATGCCGATTGCTGCCAGGATTCTCATGCTCCCGGAGATGCGCCTTCATGTTGTACATTTGGGAGAATCGTTTATTGCATACTGGACAGGCGAATGGCTTGGCGCCTGTGTGGGACCGTGTGTGCCGCTCGAGATGGGCTTTCGTGCGCGTCTTAAAGCCACAAACCTGACACTCCAGGCGCTTAGATTCACTGTCGTGTATCATTTTGTGCTTGTAGAGCGCAACCTTATGAACAAACCGTTTCGAGCAGACTTCACACTGATAAGGCGTTTCCCCCGTGTGCCATGCCATGTGGTGTTTCAGTCGAAACTTGCGGCTGAAGCGTTCGCCACAATGGGGGCACTCGAACTGTTTGACTGGCTCATGATTCTGTAGGTGGCCAATGAAGCCAGAGTAGGATTGCAAAGTTTTGCCGCACTGATCACACACATAGCCAGGGAAATGCTCACGTTTTGTGTGCGCATTATATGAACGACGACTGCTGAACTGCTCCGGACAGCTCGGGCATTGAATGTTAACTGTATAGTCGCCAGAGCTGTCCTGGTCATCAGCATCTGAGATTAGGTATTCGATTGTGCCATCCATTTGATCCTCTTCAAACTCACTTAACATATCCTTGTCCTCTGTGAACATATCCAGCTCGTCGGTTGTTTGCTTGACGTCATCATCCAGATCCGCATCAGGAACTTCTTCATTTATAATTATCTCATTTTCAATATCTAACTCTAAGTCAACTGCTTGAAATTCCTCTTCATCGCAATCGGAAGTCTTTTCTATGAAGACATGTTCTTCCTCCACCACTACCGCCGGGTCCACAATTGTTCCTTTGACTGCCGCCGCGTCTGATCCATCATCTAAGTCAGCTGCATCTACAGTCTCGACCATTTCGACACTGATGCTGCCATCAAATTTTTCAGCGGCTTCGACCTTGAGTTCACTTCGTGACTTGAAGTCCTTGATTATAAATGGACTTCGTATTAATTCCAGTATTTCCTGACGCAGTTTTCGTGCAATTTGTAAGGATTTGTGATAGCGCGACAATTTCTCGCAGCATTTTTTGCATATTGTCGATCCCACCTCGCCGAGCACATAGTTTGTGCCCTTCGTACATTGCAGGACCAAATCACTGATTAATATGGGCGGCTTTCCAATCGTTTCCTCGTGTATGTTCTTTGGGTTGCGCACAGAAAACTGGCAAATGCAACAATTCATTTTTAGGTCGAATATTTTTTATAAAATATGAAGACATCAATTCTGCCTGCCGAAAAACATAATTGCCCAATACTCTTTTCCAGTTCTGTAAGTGCTTGATATTTAAGTATTTTATCGTGTTTCCACTGCTGCGTGTCAGTATGTGCATCCATTGCAATATTTTAAGAAAATACTAAATAAAAAATACATTTGGTACTTCTGTTCTCAATTTTATTGCAAAAAACCAAAATTTGTATAACTTGCTCAGCTCCATTAATTAACGATCCATGGTAATATTGTAATTTTTGTAATTTTCCGATTCTTTCATAATTTCCATTGTTTTATAATGATTTGCTCTTCCAAAGGTCTATCAAAATCATTTAAGGTATTACGAAATCGCTTTTAAATTAATACTTTGCTCGTCTTACCTTGCATTTACCGTAAATTTTCATTGTACGTGCCGAATTATCGACGTCCATCATGCCACCGCCTAGAGGCTTAACACATAGACCGAGACTCTCCATTTCAGAGCGCACACGATCGTATACCCTTACTATAAAGCCAAACGGATTAGATAAATCTATAACAGAAGAACTAAAACAAGAACTAACCATGATTTTTCGCTGGCTGTCCACGCACGATTGTCCTCGAGTAGAGCGTTTCACCGTGAATGTAAATCGACATCAACAAATAAAGAATTTGACCATCTGCGATCTCAATTTTTGGTACAGTGATAAGCGCTTTGCCGGCCCTCTGATTTGTAAAGTTTCTTACTGGATGTTCATTATTTTATTGAAGCTCGGATTATTCACATAAATGTATAACTTACGAATCGGGTTTCCTGAAGTTCGGAAAGGAAGCGCGAGCTTTAATAATTTCATTTTATTGGGTAGGTAAACTATTTTAATGCCAAAAAAAAAGGAAAATGGAAAAATTTAGACGAGTTTATTAAAAGGTCTGTTGTGAAGAAAAACTATAGCTTGACTAACTTTTAGTTTCAGAGAAACCAGTCCGTTGCAAACTTTTCCCATGTTGCTTCGATCATAAAATGGGAACGACAGGGGTGTTTCAAATTATATAGCGTTGATATATACATGTGTTACAAATATGTGATATAGCTGTCTGATGCGGTCGACTCCGGCACATGTGCTGCCTGCAGCAGACGGATCTTGCTAACGTTTATCGCTTAAGAGACTAACTAAAGTAAATACAGCAATTAACATACTTGGCCCATTATCCTTATAAATATACTTTATACTTTATGGGATCGAATATGACTCAGTCTATGCATGACATCTTTCGACCCTACAAGAAAAAAAAGTTGAATACAGGTTGGCTTGTGCTCAAAAGAAATACATATAATTTGAATTAATAAATTAACTTCAAGTATGCTCAAATAATTATGAACACAAACTAATAACCCTCATCGGTTGTTTCAATTTCGTAGTCCTTATACTTTGTTTGCAAAATTCTCTTCGATTCCAAGTGATCAGCTTTACCAAAGCCCTGTCATAAACAAATAAATAACAACATTATATGTATAAGTACTCACTAGTATTCTCGAATAATGTGATTAAATACCTGTGAAAAGCCGTACACTTTCATGTACTTCTTCTCTGGATTGTGCTCAATGCGGCCACCGCCAAGGCATTCAGTTTCCAAGCCGGTCTTTTTACAAGCTTTCATGACGCGCTCGTAGATATCAGCTTAAATAAAAGTTAAGGCACTCAATTAAAGGTATTCTTATGCAAACGTTTATAAAATGCTTACAATGATAATCACAGTCGGCATATCCACGAACTATATTCTTTTCGTTGTCCGTGCAATCCTCTTTGCCAATAACCTTAATTAGAATATATTTAAAAATACCTTTGCTGTCTACATCTACCAAAGGTACAGCCAGAAGATCCTTTTCGGTCATTTTGAGGAATCGCAGTGCTTAACAAAATGATATTATTCAATGTAACTACAGCCATTAAATAATTATGCCTTTTTTGTGTCTTACCGCTCGGACGAAAAACAGGTGATTTTAGCAAGCTCTTAAACGCACTCTGCATTTTCTCTAGAAATGACAGAGAATGCGATACTGCTACTTTTAAGTGATTACTTCGGGCGTCACTTGATTAACAGTGACACTTAACGCAATTCACATTTGAAAAGGTTTTCGCAAACAGTTAGGTATTTTTGTAAGTTTAATTTTGGACTCACAGATATTTTGATTATATTGTGATTATATTACTGTGTGATGTGATTATATTTCTGTTATTTTTGTTAAAACTTAACACTGAAACCTGCTACTTTTCTTAACATTCAAATAAATTGTACTCGAATACAAGTATCGATAGTTTTTTTTTAGCATACTGCTGATAAACAAAAGGGCAGCAAATGTTAATGTAATTGCTTGTCGCTGTTAGGAATAAAACAGCTGACAGCATTTCTGTGTGTACAGAATTCGTGAACAAGAGAAAAGTTGTGTGAACGCCGTTTTTGACCAGCAGAACGAACACGCTTAAGAAATAACACAAAATAGTTGTATGTATAAAATATATATATGCTAAGGGAGATAATTGTATGAGAAACTCGCTTCATAGATTCGTAGAATATTGTTCAAAATGAGTACAACGCGTCCCTTCTGTTTCGTTTGTGGGAAGATGAAGTCTGTTGGCGTCTTTCAGCTCATCGAAGGCAAGTCGAAAGCACAAACTAAACAGCTTAAAACTAATAATAAATAATAAATAATAAACAACACTATTTTAGGCTGCATCGTACCTGGCACATTTAAGCCCATTAAGGACATACTGAAATACTTTGAAAAGGTTATCAATCAACGCTTGGATCTGACGCCAACATCGGCTGCTTGTAATGATTGCCTCGAATATCTGTTCAATTATGACCGGCTGGTTCGAAATCTAAGTCAGGTTCAGCGTCAAATTGCAAACTCGTTGCTAAATTGTCGCAAAAGGAAAGCGGCGATTTTGCAGACTAGAAAAGATGCCATAAAACCAAAATTGCATGAAATGCGGACTAGAATCTCGGAAAACGAGTCGAAAGTTGTTAAAGAGGAACCAGAAGAATACGCGTCCTGCGAAGAGCCACAAGCAGAGTGTCAATTTAGCGAGAGCGAAGAGAGCATGGACGATTCCGATGGGGAAGATAATCTAGATATTCCATGTCACATATGCGGCGAATTGTTTGCAAATCAGGATTCCCTCGAAAGGCACATTAAAACGGACAACTGCCAAAAGAACGAATTTGCCACCTGCAACATATGCGGCATCAAAGTTAAAAACGATGAAGTCCTCGATCTTCACATGAACCTGCATGAGGGCAAAACTGAGCTGGAGTGCCGCTACTGTACGAAAAAGTTTTCGCACAAGCGCAACGTTCTGCGCCACATGGAGGTGCATTGGGACAAAAAGAAATATCAGTGCGAGAAATGTGGCGAACGCTTCTCATTGTCCTGGCTAATGTACAATCACCTAATGCGCCACGATGCCGAGGAGCACGCCCTCATCTGTGAGGTATGCCATCAGCAGTTCAAAACGAAGCGCACCTACAAACACCATCTGCGCACCCATCAGACAGATCGGCCGCGCTATCCGTGCACAGACTGCGAGAAGTCCTTTGTGGACAAATATACGTTAAAAGTGCACAAGCGCGTGCACCTGCCAGTCGAGGCAACACAGTCTGCAACAGAAAGTCACACAATCAACCAAACAACCTAATAACCTACAGTTCTTAGTTTATTTCAACTAGAAAGCTAATATGAATGATTTAATATATATATATATAGGTTATTAAAAATGCTACACTTGAAATGTTTCTAAAGACTGTTTGCTTGACTATCTGGACTCCACTGCTGTCTAGATATTCCAACATAAGCTGCTCAAGAAATAATCTGTAAATAGCTAATAATATTTATATCTAAAATACAACGTTCGTGTGAACGGGAACATATCTTGAATGCAGTGAGAGCTCTCTTAGGCAGAACATTTTACGATTGTTGATTGTTTTCTGATTTCTTGCAATCACTTAATTTGTAAGTACACTTATTATTATAACTTTTAAGTACGTTAATTGTATAGTTTTTACCACTAGTTTGTTTCTACGCAAAGTAGTATCTAAAAAGGGAGCTGTCCGTCCATAGACCTTACACTGTAGATGGATTAAACTTGCACTGAATGATCCTTAAAACCCCTACGTAATCCACGTGTCAAACAGGTAAAAAAGAGATATATTTGCTCAAATCTGTGTAATAAATGGCAGATGTTTTCGACATCTGTCCTGTCGGAAGCGTACCTGCGAGCATTTATATAGCCTGGAATATTCATGCTCACCTTCAGTTGAGTTTTGCACCTTACAGCGACTCATCTTAAATGGATAAATTATATTTGCAATTAAATGTGTGCACTGACATAATTGCAAAAGGTGTCACATGCCACACGGCCAAGATTGCCTGGTTAAATGAATTTTGTGCCGCATTTCACACGTTTGCGAGTCAATTTAAAAGTTATTTGCCAGAATTGGCGCCCAAAAATGAACTGGAGGGCAACATCAGAATACACGTGGAGACGATATATCTGTGCTTCACCCAGGTTATCACATGTATAACACAATTGGAGCGTACTATCAATATTGAGGGCACACTTGAAGCAGGAGCTCAGCTCCTGGTCACACGAACCCATTTTCTAGATCGCATTGACTGGTGTTTGAGACGTCTACAAGCATCGGTTTATCAGCTAGCCGAAGAGGCCATAGCCAGCACGCCTGTGAAGCTGGAGGATTTGTCTTTTGTGGAGCTACTGGACTTGGCACTGGATAAACTGGAGACATACAGCGAAATTGTGCCCGCGCAGCCGCAAGCCGAGGAGGAGGACTCTGGTGAGAAGGATCAACTAGTTGATCAGGTGAATCATCTTATAAAGCATGCCTTGGCCTTTGCCAATGTCGCACTGGAATCCGATAAAAAGGCGCTGACTGCTATTTATGAAACGGTTTTAGAGGAAAGTGGCATATTTGAGAAGAACTTTAAGACGCACAATCCAAACGAGCGAAAGCTGGAAGCCCTGTCTCTACAACGCGCTCTTTATTCGCTGGAAACCTACCTAAATGAGGCACTATTGCACCTGATCTTTACCAGCATGTTCGATACGGAGAAAGCATCCATAAAAAGGCTAAGAAACGTATTGGAAACTTGCGAATCTTCAAGAACAGTGGATAGACTTGTTTCGGATTTTGATATTAATGTGGATCGCATACAACAGATAGGCATATTTGCTATAGCATTTACACAAGATGTTAAAACCAAGACAATTATCAGAAGTTGCTTGGCCTCTTTGGAATCTTTGGATTCGTGCATTGTGCCGGCATTTCAATTGCAAACAACGAGCTCAGCTTCATATCATGCGGACATTTTGGAGCATCACTTCAGGGAGGAGCTGATGGTTTTTCGTAATGTTATTCACGAAATAATTGACAGTCGAGCCCTGATTAACAACTATTTGGATATATTAGCCGAGAGTATTGACAATGCTGAGAAACTCTACCCCGAGGGCTATTTATTGCAAGTTGCCCAAATGGGCAATGTGATATTTCAACATTTTCAGCTTAGGGCCAATAATCAGGAGTTGATAGCGGACGAGGAAGGCAAGCGCTTGCATCAGGACTTTATCGCCATTTTACACGAATGTCAGGCTGTACTTGAAATTTCCGTTCATGTAGATCTAAAGCGAATTGTAAAGCGTTTAAAGATTTTATATTCGATTTTGGCGAAATTGCGCGATGTCTGTGATAAGCTAGTCTATGAGCGAGCTATAAGTAAGAATGAAAAGTCTATGACGACATCGACGAAATTGAGACAACATTCATTCGCTAATCCCGAAATTGGACATACAATTCCCAATTGCAATAGGACCGATTGCTCAAATTCATTAAGCCATGAAAGTGATCTTATTAGTTTTCAATTAACGGAAATTTTGCGTATTACTTGAAATACAAATTCTGCCAGATGTGTATATTGTGTAAGATTTAAATGAAAATATGTTTGAAAAATGCTCTTGCTTGAGTCAACTCTAAAAATAATGTTAATTTGGGGTTTTCTTAAAAATGTATATAATACGTTGTTAGATTCGAAATAAATAGACAAATAAAAATAATAGGGCCCAGTCAACTGTTTTATTATTGTTTAAATAAAATAACAAATATTTGTATTGCAATGGCTTGGCAGCCCTGCAATAGTGTTGTAAAAGACAAGGTTGGCAAGAAAACGATGCCCATGACAGCGACAAGTTATCGAAACGACATCGATTGTTTTGCAACGCTGTGCACAAGCAAAATTCGGTATCTGAAAAGGTTGATTATTAAAGTTAAGAAATCTCTAAAAGTGTACGCACTCGCGTATATATTATCATATCGGTCCATCCCTAAAATACTTACATCCCTAAAACCAAACGGCGTTTTTTTTTGTAAACATTTGCCAAAAAGGGTAACAATTAGACACTATGAATACGTGCTTCTTTTGCGGTGCCGTTGACATACACGGCACTGCAAACTATGAATTGCTCACAGCTAAGGTGCCATCGTCACACAAATCGGTGTCCTTAGTGCTAACACATCTCGCCAACTGTATGAAAACCGAAGTTAAATTGAGTCCAAATACAAAACTCTGCCCGCGATGTTTCAACGAGCTGGCGGAATACGATACCATAATGGTAAATCTAATGGTTACCCAAAAGAAATTGACAACTCAATTGAAAGCGGCACTCAAATCGGAGTTCGAAGACGAGGGGCTGGTTGAGGAACTGGATAAGGCGGCACAGGAAGATGCTGAAGCGGAAGCTTTGTTCGAGGAGCTAGTCAAAGAGGAGGATGATATGGATATGGACATTAAAGAGGAGTACGATGACGATGATGATGAGGAATTTCTTTGCGAAGTTAAATCAGATGCTTTGTCCGTTAAGATGGAGGATGAGGCCGACGATCAAGGCAAATTCATTCCAAAACGAGTTAAACAGGAATGCAGCACCTGTGGCAAGATCTTCAATGCTCGCTATCAATTGCAAAAGCACATCAGCGAGGAGCACAACAAGACCCAGGCACACGTTTGTCCCATCTGCGGCATTATACGACGCGACGAGGAGTATCTTGAATTGCACATGAATGTCCACGAGGGTAAAACTGAGAAACAGTGCCGTTACTGCCCCAAGAGCTTCTCACGGCCTGTCAACACGCTGCGGCACATGCGCATGCACTGGGACAAGAAGAAATATCAATGCGAAAAGTGCGGCCTGCGCTTCTCCCAGGACAATCTCTTGTACAACCACCGTTTGCGGCACGAGGCCGAAGAGAATCCTATTATATGCAGCATTTGCAATGTCTCGTTCAAGTCGCGCAAAACCTTCAATCATCATACACTCATCCACAAGGAGAACAGGCCCCGCCATTACTGCACCGTCTGTCCCAAATCATTTACAGAGCGTTATACACTCAAAATGCATATGAAAACCCATGATGGGGACGTTGTCTATGGCGTTAGGGAGGAGGTGCCAGTGGATGATCAGGTGGTCGAGGAGCTACAGGTTGATGTGGATGAATCCGAGCAGGCCGTAACAGTTATTATGTCCGACAATGATGACAATGCCGCCAGCTTTTGTTTGATTTGCAGCACGAATTTTGAGAACAAGAAGGAACTAGAGCATCATTTACAATTTGATCATGATGTCGTATTAAAGTAAATAGCATTTAAAACTCCCTAATATAATATACACACCTTTCGATTGGAAATCTAAGTAAAAAAAAAAACTGAAGCATATAGTGTGCAAAAACTTAGTTTTTTTTTAGACTTGAATAAATTATTCACACTACTAGCATGAGTCTTTTTTCTATGAAACGCTTCTTTGTATAGATATAACATATTTCAAATAAAGTTTGACGAAAGAACATGTGTTTTAAAACAACAACAACTTCGTGAGGGGAAATCAATCGAATTTGCGCGCAATTTTTTATTTCAAATGTGATAGCCGACAATAGCAGCAGCTTTCACGAGACTTTCATATGAAAATATAGGACGAGACGGGGTTTACGAACTGAACCAAGGGGCGGAACGTTGGAACGGAACGTTAACCAAAATTAATACACACTTGAGCAGGTGAATTATAACGGGACCTATTCTGCCAAATATTATGTCGACCAGTGTTGGCAAAGCTAAAAAAGCCAAATCAGTTTAAAATATCTGTTACAGGCTAAAGACTTCTGAAAATATCCATACTTAGCTATAAAATAGCTGAATTTCCAACACTAAAATTAACACTGATGTGGAGTTGGTCGGCTCATAGAAAAGAATTTTTCTAATTTATCTTAGCCCAACTGAGCAGTGGAAAGCTTTTATATGCTCCTAACATAGCACAATTAGGAATAATCGATTCGAGAATTAGTTTTTGATAAAAGCACTGTTAAGTATTAACATTCGCCGCACATCTGCTTAATGTCTGCAAGGGTATTTCATCTTCTGCACATTTTTTGTTTGGACGTTTTACAGTTATATCTGATTTATCCAATTTTGCAGCCTTAACCCAAATGAGAACCAATATTTAGAAGTGTTCACTTTTAACGTTTCAAATTGTTGTATTCCGACTACGTTTATAAAAAACTCGTTTAAGCGAATTCCAAACTTAAGCTTATTCGTTCTCCTGAGAACGCAGACGACCGTTGGGGTTCGTCAGACGCACGGACAGCTGCTTGGCGCGCTCAACAATCTCCTTGCGTTTCTTCGAGGAGACACCGTGGGCAATCTCGCCGCAGTAGACGCGGTTCTGCATCAGCAGCACCTCCAGTTCGCGCACATTGTGTACGAGGAATTTCTTGAAACCCGTGGGCAGCATGTGGCGGGTGCGCTTGTTGGAACCGTAACCGATGTTGGGCATCAGATATTGGCCCTTGAAGCGACGACGCACTCTGTTGTCAATACCCTTGGGCTTGCGCCATTTGTGCTAAAATGGAATAGAAACCGATTAATAATGTTAAATCCTTCACTGATTATTTCATTTAGAAACTCACCGACAGCTTGGCATATCGATCCGACTGGTGACGGATGAAGTGCTTGGTGCGCTTCTTAACGATCTTGGGCCTGTATGCTGGACGAATGGTCATTTTGGTGCTGTAATTTTAAAAAAGTCCTTATTAGCGTACGCTTTTATTGTTTTGTATATGCGAATGTCAACAAAGTTTAATTTGCGTAAACACTAAGACAACACATTGTCCAATTGTAATTTCGGTGTCTTTCACATTTCGGATTATCCAGTAATTGATTTTATTCAAAATAAGCCACCATTTGAGGGTGATGTTTAATAAAAATATAGATTTTAGGAAATGTACGAACCGCTAATATGCTAAGAGCACGTCAAAAAGAGAGAAAAAAGACGTGAAGTTGGCCGCGCTTGACAGTTGTCAGCGCTGACAGTACGACCAGAGCTGTCAACTTAGGTTTCCGCTATGAGTTCGCAACTTATCATGCATGCTTGACATGCAAAAATAACAATGTTTTATTCAAAATATTATATTTTTAAATAGTAATTGCCAATACTGTAACACTCTGAAACGTAACGCGTAGGCGTATGCTTATATGTTATAGACAATATTTAACTGAGTTTCATCATATACAAAGTATATTCAACAATTTTAGTTTTGGCCTATTAAATGCCTTAAGTTATAAACTATAGTCCAAAATTTATAATTACGTACACTTAATTTAAATAATATTTACATGCAAAGCTACAAGTGTGTGATAAATAATCGTATAGTTCTCGGTCGTCTTAACCATCAAGTCATTAACATATGTCTATTTTATCGAGCTATCGATTAAAATCTAGATGCATGTTCAACATAAGTGGAAACAGTGTTGTCGCATTCTCTGCGAGCTCAGATGTGTCCGCGAACCATTTCTAAATATACAAGATTAAGAAGTATATAATAAATATTTTATAATTAGGCATCGCAGCCTAAACTGTTAGCCTAACTTATCAGTACGGCATGTCAACGATGATGTCATCAATATAACTATGCAAGACTCTCGACCACGCTGGACGCTCGCCGTAATATAACATAATTCATTATATAATTAGGCGAATTCAATGTGAATGTAAAGACCAAAACAAATAGCAAGCAAACAAGAAGTGTGTGCAACTAAATAAACAATGGTAACAAGGTAGCATATGCGCACACGACGCATGCAACACGAACGGCAACAACTGCAGCAAAATGAAAGTCGATGTCATTCTAAATACGGACGAGAGCATAACCACAACGACGCAGCCGGTAACAGTGGTGACAGCAACAGCCGCAGCAGCAACAACAACAGCAGCAACAGCAGGAGCAACGACAACAGTAACAGCGGCAACAACAACATTTGTTAGGGCCAGCCATGCGAACATCTTTCTGGACCGCTTCTTTGGCGCTTTCCAGTGGGAGGAGTTTGCGTGCGGTTGTGGCTCGGCTTTTGTCAACATCTGCGTCACATATCCCATATACAAAATTATCTTTCGACAAATGCTGCACGGTGTGCCAATTGACTCCGCCCTGTTGCAGCTACGCCATGAGGGTCTTGGATTTTTATATCGCGGCATGTTGCCGCCATTGGCACAAAAAACGATCTCCCTGTCCATAATGTTCGGTGTGTTTGATGGCACGCGCCGATATCTGGTCGAAGATTACCGCCTAAATGATTATGGCGCCAAGGTGATTGCCGGCGTTGTGGCTGGCAGCGTGGAGTCCATCTTACTGCCCTTCGAACGTGTCCAGACGCTGTTGGCCGACTCGAAGTTCCATCAAAATTTCTCCAATACGCAGAATGCGTTTAGGTAAGAGACACCTACGAATTGTCATGAGCCACTGCTGACTGTCAATCAATCTGTTGCACCTTTTCAGATATGTAGTCACCAATTATGGTTTTCGGGAGCTATACAGGGGCATTGAACCAGTATTTTGGCGCAACGGTCTGTCGAATGCATTGTTTTTCATGCTGCGCGAAGAGGCCAGTGTTCGTTTACCAAAGAGGGTAAGTATTTGAAGACTGTATACCATATATCAAGGCTGCAAATTTAAAATGAATGGCTGGAGATTCGGCTCAGAGTTCTCACCCTTTTAGATTCGTTTTAAGCTTTGCATTGCTTGGCTTACGATCCAAAGCAACTTCCTCCCGATTCGGATATTGAAGCAGTCGGTTCCACATTATTTTATCCAGGTTTTTCTTCAAATGTTTTTTTGTTTTGAACCAAACTATAGTATTTTCCATAATAATTTGCTTTGAGTTTCGGTTCGACAATCTTGGATAACTAGTTATGTTAAGGACTCGCTTGCAGCCTTGGTTCCAATAATTTTCGTTTGAACAAAACCGTTTTATAAAAAAACATATATTTCAGGTTATTCAAGCTAGTCGAGTTAATTTCACACTAAATAAGAAATATAGAAATTCAGGACTCGAACCGACGCGGTCGAAACCCAATTTGCAGCCCCGATATATGTTGCCTGAGCGCTTAAATTAAACAATTTGTTTTTTGTATTGCAGAAATCGGTGTCGAGCAGAACTGCACAAGAATTTATTGCCGGTGCGGTAATTGGAGCCAGCATCAGCACATTGTTTTATCCGCTAAATGTGATTAAGGTGTCGCTACAGAGCGACATGGGTCAGGTAACGGAGGGAAGTTGGCACGCCTGCAAGAGAATCTACCGCGAACGAGACAGTCGTATAGGGAATTTCTATCGCGGCTGTGCATTCAATACGGGTCGCTCCTTTATCAGCTGGGGCATTATGAATACGGCATACGAGAACCTCAAGAAGCTGATACGGCAGCAGGAGCTGGCGCCGCAGGTGCAGACGATACCAATGTCGAAAGGAAAGTAGAACAGAACGTAGCGACGTGACGGGGGCTTACGTTAACCATGTGCTATGTATTACGTATTACGTAAACTCAACTAAACTAAAACTTATAACTGAATAAGCTTAATGTATACACAAATAGCAAATTTTACGTTTTTAAGTCATATTCTAGTGGTTTTTCGTTGTGAGTGCCACGTTTTTTGGGCGCTCATTGCATGTTCCCATACGAAACATAAAATCTGAGGCAAAAAAAAAAGAAAAAAAAAAACACGATTAGATGTTGTATATCATACCCATACATAAATGTATTTCTTTTGGTAAGTGCATATAGACTGTAAAAACTGAACTCTTCTTAATTCGTTTAAGAACCAATAAAAGTCGGTTTTGAAAACCAACGAAATCGCAATGCAAATGCCAATTATGTCTGGCTTGGCGTGAGTACAATAAAAGTGAGCATTTAAAGAACCTAAAACACAAAACAAACAAAACAAAACACAATTATTGTTAAACAATCTGTATATATAATACAATACATATTACATGTACGATTGAATTAATTATGTTGTTAATGTATACTGTAACTACTTGCGTGATGTTTACGAAATTAATAAATTTATTCAATATATTTTCGTTTTTCTTTTATTTTGGTTTTTGAGAATAAAAGAATAAGGGCTATACTCGGGTGTTATGACGTTACGAAATGACTTGTATAAAGCTTTGAATGTTTTGTAAATACTTGTCATTACGTTCGATTCGTGAACCTTGGGTCACGAGACCCAACCTGGCAACCAGGATTTGATTTGAGCCCTGGCTCGTTATATTTTAAGATAATTTTTGGGCTTTAGCTGTCCCATCTACCGAGAATACCGGAATGTATTCTAATATACAATGCTACCCAAAATTGGCTACTAACTTAAGGCTTTGGGACTGGGTCTTGGGTTCAATTTAATAAATTAACCAAATAATTTGTTGTAATAATTTGATTCAATTCAGACCAAAGTTCCCGATCATTTATGCTGACTGGCTCGGAAGTCTAGTTATAAACCGAAGCTTTAAATAATCTTTTTCCCCTATAAAAATATATATTGAGATCGAAAAATAGGTAAACAAAGCCTTAATATTTCTATCATATATTCAGCATATTCGTATATTTATCAGCACACTAATTAGTTATTACATACAAATAGTTAGGTTCTACAACTAGAATATCTAAGCGTAAATTATTTACAAAAAAAAAAACTATTACACATATCACAAAGAACATTAAAGAGGGAGTGGGAGGCGGGGGGGGGCGTATTTTAATCTTAGCTTAACGTTTCTTTAGCGAGCTGCGATATCGTTGATAGAAATCCTCCATGGCTCTGTATTCCGGCTCCAGGATATCGGGTATTTCCTTGTCCAATGAGGCAAAGTAAATCATTTCGACCGAGCAGCTGCCACGCAATTGTTGCTCGTATTGGCGCAGCTGCTGAAAGAATCCGGAATTGGGTCGCACTTGCGGCCGTATGGATTGCACGTGTGTATAGGCTTCGCGGAGACTCATGCCGCCGTATTTTATTAAATAGGCTAAGCATAGGGAGGCGGAGCGACTGACGCCGGCAACGCAGTGCACCAGGGAGCTGCCGCCACTGAGACGCACTTCCTCAATCAAATCGGCCACCTCATCGAAATGGGCCGCCAAATTAACTCCGGCCCGATCCTGTGCATTGATGCGCAGATACAATGGATTACTGGCACTGGACAGCGGCGTGTCCGGCAGCTCCGGCGCCACATTCACAACACAGCTAACGCCCAGCTTGTCCAGGTGCGCCGGCACCACAGCCGCAGCGCCGCACAGGTAGAGAGAAGGCGTCAGCCGTGAGATGCCTGGATAGGGCGTCTGATTATCCGATTTTATTTGACTGAAATGGAAGGAAAGTATATTTATTCAGTTTGCTTTGCATTCAAATAACAGTTATTTATGAAAAATATCAGATGTGATTAAAGTACATATATATTATGGGTCAAAATTTATCACCCCCATAACTCGGTCAAATCTCATCAAAATTTCACGAAGTTTGGCGTTTTCCTCATAGTTTTCCCTCTTGATTAATCTGGCATTCAAATATGAACAGCGATTTTTTAGTCGAAATGCATGTCCAAATCATACTTCAAGATTCGTATATAGACATGGGTCAAAAATAACCACCCCCATTACTCGGTCAAATCTCATCCGATCTTCACAAAGTTTGGATTTTTCTTCATGGTTTTCCCTCTAGATTACTCTGGCATTCAAATCTCGACACCGATTATTTGGTCGAAATTCATGTCAAAATCTTACCTCAAGATTCGTATGTAGACATGGGTCAAAAATGACCACCCCCATATCTCGGCCAAATCTCATCCGATTTTCACGAAGTTTGGCTTTTTCTTCATGGTTTTCCCTCTAGATTAATCTGGCATTCAAATCTCGACACCGATTTTTTAGTCGAAATTCATGTCCAAATCTTACCTCAAGATTCGTATATAGACATGGGTCAAAAATGACCACCCCCATAACTCGGTCAAATCTCATCCGATTTTCACGAAGTTTGGCTTTTTCTTCATGGTTTTCCCTCTAGATTAATGTGGCATTCAAATCTCGACACCGATTTTTTGGTCGAAATTCATGTCCAAAGCTTACCTCAAGATTCGTATATAGACATGGGTCAAAAATGACCACCCCATAACTCGGCCAAATCTTATCCGATTTTCACGAAGTTTGGCTTTTTCTTCATGGTTTTCCCTCTAGATTAATGTGGCATTCAAATCTCGACACCGATTTTTTGGTCGAAATTCATGTCCAAATCTTACCTCAAGATTCGTATATAGACATGGGTCAAAAATGACCACCCCCATAACTCGGTCAAATCTCATCCGATTTTCACGAAGTTTGGCTTTTTCTTCATGGTTTTCCCTCTAGATTAATGTGGCATTCAAATCTCGACACCGATTTTTTGGTCGAAATTCATGTCCAAATCTTACCTCAAGATTCGTATATAGACATGGGTCAAAAATGACCACCCCATATCTCGGCCAAATCTCATCCGATTTTCACGAAATTTGGCTTTTTCCTTATGGTTTTCCCTTTAGATTAATCTGGCATTCAAATCTCGACACCGATTTTTTAGTCGAAATTCATGTCCAAATCTTACCTCAAGATTCGTATATAGACATGGGTCAAAAATGACCACCCCCATAACTCGGTCAAATCTCATCCGATTTTCACGAAGTTTGGCTTTTTCTTCATGGTTTTCCCTCTAGATTAATGTGGCATTCAAATCTCGACACCGATTTTTTGGTCGAAATTCATGTCCAAATCTTACCTCAAGATTCGTATATAGACATGGGTCAAATATTACCACCTCCATATCTCGGCCAAATCGCATCCGATTTTCACGAAATTTGGCTTTTTCCTTATGGTTTTCCCTTTAGATTAATCTGGCATTCAAATCTCGACACCGATTTTTTGGTCGAAATTCATGTCCAAATCTTACCTCAAGATTCGTATATAGACATGGGTCAAAAATGACCACCCCCATAACTCGGTCAAATCTTATCCGATTTTCACGAAGTTTGGCTTTTTATACCCTGAACCCATTAAAAATGGGTATAAGGGTATATTGTATTTGTGCGAAAGCCAAATATATGTAACAGGCAGAAGGAAGCAACTCCAACCCCATAAAGTATATATATTCTTGATCAGCATAAATAGCTGAGTCGATCAGCCATGTCCGTCTGCCTGTCCGTCCTAGCTCCCGCGCAGATCGAGTTTGCTTCCGATAATCGATAACTTACTCCGTTTCCAAGCAATCGATAAAAATCGATATCGATATCCTGTTTTTTGGGCAATTTTGGTAAATAATAAGAACTAGAGTCACCAAACTTGACATATAGCTTCCAAAATAGAATATACTTATATATGCATTTGATGTTGGAAGAAGAGGGTTCAGGGTATTCCCTAGTCGGGAGCTCCCGACTAGAACCTCTTACTTGTTTTTTACAAATCGTTCATATAGAAAGTTTTGGAGCTCAACTTTGTCTGAGTATTTTGAAAAACCTTAATTTACTTCTAAAATAACATAGATTTTGACCGATAATTCCCTTGACAGATATATAATATAGTTATTCAGGGCTGCAAGCTAAAATCGAAATATTTGCTGGTTCGGCTTACGATTTGAACCGGCTCCCTGCCATTCGTTTCGGTTCGTGAACCTGGCTCTCCACATTCATAAACTCAGGCTTAGGCCTTTCTATTTACAAATTTTTTTTGTATAGTTTTTAAAATGTTAATTCAAAAATACTTAATTATAAAATGATGTTGAATTTAATCTGGCCGTTCTGCTAAATTGTTATACACAACAAATAGTTCATAAGGTCCATCTATGTAATATGCTCTATATCCGACCAGATTCTTATAAAAATCCACACCAAAAACATATTCAACAATTAGTCATCCAAATATGCTATATACTAACATTTTTACCCCTTTATTATGTATAGCGACTAATTGTTGAGTATTTAAAGCATCGAAAACAAACTGTCAAATAACAAAATATTTTCAATATTTTTAGACGTTGGAAAAATAAAAAAAGAAAACAAAATTTTGGCAAATTTAAGACGTAAATTGAAAAGTATATTGTAGATACGATAGAGTTATTGTAAAAAGTTTTTAAATAACAATCGCAGCGCTGTCAAGCTTTTATGAATGGGCATTAAGGTCTCTTTCAACTTTCTGTTTTTGTTTATAATACAGCGCGTATTTCTCTTGGTGATCTATGCATGCACGTCATTGTTTTTTTAGCACCTACGTCGAATACTACAAAACAATAAACGTTTGGATACATAAAACATATGCCCATTTCTATACAAACGAGCTGTATGTTTATAAATATTTGTTTATAATTAGTTGGCTGATTTTGATAATGCGCAATATAAAAATAGAAGTGGATGTGCAAAGGTGTGCGATACGAAAATATAAAACATAATCAAAACTCTTACATAAATAAATGTAGCTGTAAAAATGTTAGAAATAATAAACAAGTAGAGCTTGAGAGCTCTTTTGGTTATACAAAGTGAAGAATTTTTGTATATCAAAAATGTTGAAAAAAAAACCTAAATATTTGTCTGTTCCTTCTTAAAACCAAGCGGTTCAAACCCTGTGTAATATAAAATGAGGATTCAATCCTTGAAAGCTTTTCTGTTTAAAAGTAAGATGAGTATCTCTTAAAAACTTCCAAGCTCGAAGCATATGTAAGCTTGTTGGTGATATAAACAAAAAGCTATTGCTAAATTCTCAGCCAAAGTTCCCTTTCGAAAACCAAAAAGTTCGAACCCTGTTTAAAGCAAAGATGAGTTCATTTTATAAATTTCGAAATTTGTGTAAGCTTTTTTTATATAAACGAAATCTGATCATTAAATTTCAAATTTCGGACCTCTATTAAAACAAAGATGAGTTCCTTTTTAAGAAGTTCGAACTTTGAGCTGCGCTAAAATATTTAATTAATACAGACGAACTCTGGTAAAATACTTAATTAATTTAGACGTTCTCAGAGCAACTTTTGTAATAAAATAAAAGGGCTCAGTTATAGTTTTGGTTCGATTCGACCACGTGCCATTAACTTGGCCAATTCGATTTGGTCGAAGTGCTGACAATTCGGTTGACAGATTCATTCACACTTGAAGCTCAGCTGCGGAATGTTAATGTAAAATACAACATCAAACCAATTTATTTATAGTTTCAATGGATATTTGCCTGGCGACATTTCGTCGTCATTAAATAATAATCACAAATTCCGCTGGAACTTTGCCAACATTAATCATCGGACACTTTCACTTTGACCGCACACAAATGCCGTCGTCAAAATTATCCACACAAATATATACATATATATATACAAATATCTACAGGAATATTCTGTATATATCAGTTTTTTGCCGTGTGAAAAGTACGTATATATATAATATATTTCCCGCATCGCGACACAATATGTTTATTGCTACCAAACAAATGCAGAAAAACAATAACAATTTCGGATCTTTTCTATAATTAAATGAAAATTTATGATTTTCTTTAACGGCTGCAAAATTGTTGACACTCTATAATATTGCATATAAAATCATGTGACGACAAAGGGAAATGGGTTAATGTTATAAGAAACCTTGGGGCTTTATTGCGGTCCATTTTTCTCGGGTAGCTTAATTAATTATTGAAATGCACACAACCTGTTTGCCTCATGTCTATACCTGACATTATATATATATATATTTTTTTTTTTACAATGCGGATATCTATATAATATATACCATAAGAGCATATAGGCATTTCGGCTATGCACTTGAAGGTTAAAAAATATGGCCGATTCTTGTTGCCAATTTTTGTTGTGTGTGTTTTTGGCGAATTTGACAGGCAACAGACAGAAAAGACAGACAGACCTTCGTCTGCCGCAAATCGAATGATGTTTTTATCTTACTTAAGCAATTATTTTGTCCTTGAATTCAATTGTCAGAGTCAGGGCTGTCAATAATAAACGCCAAGAACTATGCAAAATAAAAGGAAAAGAATTTAAAAAAAAAAGACTTCTACAAGTATTTGTCGCTAGCTATGCGTATTGATAGGAATTATTATTTTCTTCCTCTGCTTGTTCTGAGATTAATTTTGAGTCTTCAATGTCAAATTTTAATAAAATATATTATAAGCTAGATTGCTTGGGCAATATGTCTTGATGACGGCCATTTACATAAACAGAATATCTGCCTATCAAATTCAACTAGCATATCCAATATTTGCAGATACAAGAATTATTATAATATTATATCTTCACCTGAGATCTATCGGAATGCAGCGTCAAGTCAAGCACTAACATCCAAATGTGTTTCACATAGATAGGGCCCAACTTGTAAAGGTATTTGGCATGGAATTTGGCACAGAGTATCGAAATAAAAATGTGTGCATTTGGCACAATTCGGGGAAACTTGGCCATATGCTTGGTAATACACAAAGCACGCACATTAATCCATTCATGCTTATTAGAAATGTGTGCGAGTTTTTTTTTAATTAATAGAAATTCAAATTAATAAAGCTCTATTTTGTGTGAAGCCAACTGAATAATTTATAAGATATTTCTCTTTGATTTTTAGCTTTAAAGAGAAATTTAAAAATAATATACACAAAAATGTAATATTAAGCACTTTAAAACTTTGCCCACGGTAAATACAAAGCAAAAAAAAAACGCTAAGCCAAAAATGTTATTTAGTCACGCTTGCCCAAACCAGGTGCAAATCTACATATATTACGTATAAATTATATGCCATGACAAGCCCACCTCAAAAAAGTGCTGCCAAGTGTGTAAAAAAAAAACGGAGAGGAGCTTGGGGGTGGCATGACATAAGCGCGACCTCGACATTTGCGGAGCTTGTGCTTAAATGTAATAAAAAATGCATTTGGCAGGGCTTAAATTTAGTAAAAAGTGACACGAAACAATTAACACAATCAGAACAGGTAAGTGAACACGTGGATGACTCACCTATGGCAGGCGTGATCCTTGTCCTCGGCAACATTATCAGCGAAAACTGCCTCTGATATGTTCTTGATATCGTCCACAATGCTCCTAAGTTTCTTTTGTGTTTCGGCTGCCAGGCTAGCTGGCAAACTGGGAATGGTAATTAGCTCTTGCATATTTACGAGTCCGTTGCCCGATCTGGCGCGCCACAAGATATAAAAATTCCACAAATTCCAGAACGAGTATATACTATATTTATAAAAAGCAAACAACAAAACTATTTCGTATCGTTTGAATTTGTTTTCGTAGCAGCGTAAACAGAATTTTTTATGGCGCCCAATGGAAAATGCTTTGCTGTATTTTCTCTAGCGACGTGCAAAAGTCGACTGACTCATTGGGCGCTAAACACCAAAAACAATTCGAAATATTTTCTGTTGTAGTGTAAACAGACGTCGTGGTGAATTTGTCAGTGCGTAAGGTGTTTGCTTGTATTTGTGGGTGCGGGTGAGTTGAATTGTTAACGAATTTCTACCTGTGCATGCATATATTTACTATATAAATATACATGTTTGTAATGTAATCAGTTCCGTGCATATTTTCATTTCTAATTACATAAATTTCATGCATTTTTTTAATTTTTAATCGAGTTATAAAATCAATCAACAAAAGTGGTTTAATCAAAGGCATCTAACTAGTTAAAACTAGTTACTATTTCTGTGTCTATAACATTATTAAAGGATCTGTGTAATTCGCATTATGTTAAACCCATATATTTAAAGTTTAAATTCACATTAACTCTCAGGTCTGTGAAAACTATTTTTAATTTAACGGCCGTTTGCCTAGACGGTTTCACATTCTTGGCCATTTGATAGAATTTGTTGCTCATTTTACACTCTTATTTGCAACAAGGACTTTAATTGTTTTGAATTCCTTTTAATTAAAATTCACTCTGAAATTACTTTTACAAAATTGATAAGAAAGTCAAAAATACGTTTAACGTCTCTTTTTGAGTAAATTATAAGTTCTTGCTGTTAATAACATTTGAGCAAAATGTTAATGGCCGCATTGCTGTTAATGGAAAAAGCATACCAGCTGATCAATATCTGTGTACAGCCACAAGACATTGTGAATGAGACAGAGAATATTGAATGCCTAAGAAGAAGAGCAAAGCGCGAGTTTCTTGTGAATGAGAGAAATAGCAGCAGACGCCAACTGGCCTCAAACATATTCATATTTTGCACGATTTTTGTCAAATATTAATTTATAAAATGGGTAAGGAAAAGGCGGGCAAAATGTTCAATATCGGCGATTTGGTATTCGCGAAAGTGAAAGGCTATCCCGCGTGGCCAGCAAAGATTACGAAGTACCACAACAAAAAGTACAATGTTTACTTTTACGGGACCGGAGAGACCGCCAATATAAAAATCGAAGATCTTTTCACCTATGTCGAAAACAAGGAGAAGTTCGCCAATCCGAAAAACATGAAAAGGGCCAAGTTCAGCGAGGCCATTGATCAAATTGAGAGCGCGCTACGCGGCGAAGATTCGGCGCCAATCGATTTGCCCACTACCGATGAGGGCAATGAAAGCACGCTTGACGCGGCGCCAGAAGCGCCAGCAGATGCTGCAACGGCTGCACCAGCAGCTGCAGAGCCCGTAGCGGCAACGACGGCGACGGCAACGACGACAGCAGCTGGAATTCCAGCTGCCGAGAGCAGTGAGCCAAAAGCGCGTGGTGCTGCGGCGGGAGGAGGACGTAAGTCGAAGGCGCAACCAAGACATGTGGATGGAGATACGGAGGATGTCAGCACTGATGCAGTGGAAACGCCGCCGCCGCAAAAGAAACGCGTGCCACCCGAAGGCATTGGAGCCACAAATACCACCAAGAAATCCGTAAAGAAATCAAAACCCACGGCCGCCGTGACGCCCATGCAGAAGCGTTCTCGGCAAGTAAATGTGAGTAGCTCTAAAGAATTTGAAGTGTATATTTAATATATATATAATCTATATCCAAATCAGATTATACAGAATAATCTGCTCATGGTGTACATGCCGACAGCCAAATGCTTGGGCATTAATATCAACTACAAGAAGCCCGCCAGCTTTGAGAATACCGCCGCAGAGCAGGCCTGGATGGAGAAGGCGCGCAAAGAGGCCATCGAATTGAAGCTGAAACTGGAGTCCGGGCAAATCGATGCCGAGTCCATGCCAGAACGTATTATAATCGAGCCGGTGCGCAATGAAATACCCAAGCAGGAGGCGGTGCGTTTCATTGAGGAGCTAATTGAGCAAGAGGATGCGCTGTTCATGGAACGTGATTTTATACAATTGTCACAGCAGCTGCGCGAGTGCCTCGGACTGCGACGGGCCAATGTGGGCAGATGCCTGGAGATATTGGAGCAGCTCAAGGAGATCGAGCTGAATAAATTGATGCTGTTGCGTAATCCGGAATGTGTTGATATAATGCGTCGGCTACGTCGATATGTTGGCAATTTGGAGCTATGGAAAATGGATATATCGGATGAGTTGGAGTTTAAGGAAAAGGCGCAAATAATACGTAAAGTCTCGACCGCTATTTATGATGGCTTCAAGACGCTCTTTAACCCAGATTCCGAGCCTGAAGAGAACTTCTGGGTGGATTTTTGCGAAAAGGTCAAGATCTATAAAAACTATACGAAAAACATCAACGATAACCTGCGCGTTTCGATGAGCGAGCACAGCTACGAAAATCTGGTAAAGACCAAGGAACAAGTCGCAGCCTCCAAGGAGGTTGTCCAAAACTAAAGGTCAGCAAAAGGCCGCGTCAACGGTTCCAACTACATCTACTTAAGGTGGGAAGGTTATGCCCTAAATATCAGCATTAACTTATAATAATTAATGATACCTTTTCTTTTTCTTTAAGGTAATTTTAAGCTTAAAACCCTCGCCTAAGCGAGGGCTTAATGTGAAGCCCCGACTCCCCCCTTAAAAAAATAACCTGTGAAATTGACAGATCGGCCAATTGAACTGGTTGCTTGCTATTAGTTTTAATTGCATCATCGGGCGCTTCTACGTATGTTCACCCATAAAGCACTACGTCTGAGAGCTGCATCAGCAATCCATGCACCAAACGATACACAATTAAATACAATTGCTTAGTTTATATGTTATATACACTATTATGAATATATGTGTATTCTGATCTATTAAAGAAAATAAACTCTTGACCATATTTATTTGCTATTTATTCAATCAGTCAATGAGTGCAGATCCCAAGCGCTGGCCAACTGCATCTCCCACTGTAGATACCATGTGGCATGCCTTAAAAAACGTTTTTTTAAACCAATAAGCTAAATCAAAGATCTTAATTTCATGGGACACGTGTTCTGCATGCTTTACCGAAACTAATTGCCCAGTCTACAGTCGATAGAATTTGTGCTTCGAGGATAATCCAAAGCCAAGTTCAGAAAAACAGACGATAAGCACGGGCGGAATTTTAAATTCAATAACATATAATAACAGGTATTAATATTTATATATAGGGGTACATTTGTGTTCGTATTTGCTAGTTTATACATCTTTATACAAAATTCATGGGTTTACGGCTCTTGCTGTACGTGCGCTGATATTCCTGGCGCGCCGACTTTTGCTCCGTGGTTTCGGTGCGCCCACGTTTGGCCCGGTATCGACGGCCTTCTTCACGCTTTTTACCTCTGCGCACGACCAGTTGCTCTGGCGTTTCCATTGCCCGCTGTATCTTTGTGCGGGCCATCTTCTTGTCGGCCTCCTTGCGTCTATAGGCAGTATCAGCGTTTGCTGCTCTGCGGCGACTCTCTTGCGTTTGGTTTGCGCGCTTTGCGCATCTTTGGGATAGCTGCTCGTCGGAGAGTCTCAATGTGGCCAACATGCGCTGCTTCATGCGCTTGATGCACTGTTTCATTTTTGGTGTAATTGGAAAGAGCGGCTCCACGTTGGCTTCAGCTTGAGCTATGCTTGGACTGAGCTGCACGGTACTGTTGCTCAAGCTGTCGGCCTCCTGCTGCTCACCACCACGTTGATTGCTGCTTCTTTTACTGCGCCGCAGTGCCGGACAGTCTTCGATGATTATTTCTGGTTCGATGTAGTCACTCACATCGTATTCTATGCTTTCGTCTTCGCCCGAATCCAATGCTAAAGGATCAGTGTTTTTCTCATCCAAATTGTTGTCCATTTGCCTAAAACGTATTGCCTATTATTGTTTACATGTACCGCAACGAGCGGAATTAAGACTGAGGTGCGCTGAAACGCTTGGAAAGGAACTGCTTTTGTTTCTGTACATAAATGTTAACATAAGTAAACACTGTTAAAATATACAACGTTAATCTTAATGCAGCGATTCCGCTAGTTGCTGTATATAGTACAGTGGTCCCTCGATAATTAGAACTCGGGAGAACTATAATTTATCGAAAATTAATATTTGATTTTTAACACATTAATCGCTATTATTAAAAATAATTTTTAATGTCATACTCATTAATTTTGTAATCTCAGAAATTTTATTAAAGTTTTAACCCCTTCTGGAATTCGAAGCGTTTGCATTTGCGAGTATTGTGAATGATATTTCGAATATTGACTATACTGTATATATATATTTCTTTTATTCATACTCTACAAAATTCTTAAAAATATATATGTTCATAGTTTAAGTTAAACAAATCAATCGTCAAATATCAAAATATGAGCTTAGCTTTGCATATATTTCATAAATTCAATCATTAAATTAATCAATCGTTTTCCTTGACATCACCAATACCCTCGGGTAGTATAGCAAACATGGCCTCCGATTCGGGCAAGCAGGGCGAATCGTAGATCTTGCAAATGCGTGCATCCCCCTTGCCCTTGCGCAGATATAAACGGGTTGTCGATGCATGTGCCATGATGTGACCGCCAATTGGTTTCTTGGCATCCGCTGCAAACATGGACGCACCGCCATCCACTTGGGCCGTCACCTGATTCGTAATGACCACCGCGACACCAAACTCATCCGCCAGACGCTGCAGCATGCGCAGAAATAGACCCAAATGATTTTGACGAGCTGCTAGCTCGCCTCGTCCAATGTACTCGGAGCGGTAAAGAGCCATGGCACTGTCCACAATGATTAGGGCGTATCTGAAATTTGAAGAGAGGTCAGAGGCCTTGTCTAAAGATTACCGACCGATCAGCCTGCTGTTTTTCTTTCTAATGCCAATGGATGGGCTACTAGGTCCGAAATATAGGAAATGTAGGTCCAGGCAGGTACAGAAACAGCTCTGCATGCTGTTACTTCGAATATGGACAAATCTTTGCTACAACAGGAAATTACCCTCGTGGCCTCAGTCATTCAGTACGAACCTGGATTCAAACATCATGCCAGCTGCCATTTGAACCAGTTTCGTCTGCTGATCCGTGTTGTGAGCACGCGCGCAGGCTACATTGTCGAGAACATCAGCCTCCTCCATGTTGTAGCGCTGCGCAATGGCCGACAAACGTTCCGGCCGGAATGTGCCCTCCGTATCAATATACAAGGCCTTGCCCTCGCCGCCATTCTGACTGATGGGCAACTGACAAGTGACGGCCAGCGTATGGCAGATTTGGGTCTTGCCGCAACGAAACTCCCCGAAGATTTCGGTAATCGAGCCCGTCTCAATGCCACCGCCAAGCAGCTTGTCCAGCTCCTTGGAGCCAGTTGTGAGCATCACAACTTCGGAGCGCATCTGGTGAAAGGTGCGTGCGCTGGTAAAGCTTAGGGGCACCAGTTTCGAGGCCTCCTTCATAATGTGATCCACCTTGGACTCGCCCAGGCCTTTGATGTTCAACAGCTGACGTCGCGTCGCATATGTAACCGACTCCACGGTATGCAAACTGGCCTGCTGCAGCAGCTTAATGTCTCTGGGATTGATGTTATTGCCCTGCATATAAGATTATATATATATATATATGTGACAATTACCCTACGTGCGCGACTTTACCTGCAGTTTAAGCACATCTAGCGGCCCAGCGTCCTCCTCATCTTCGGAGACATCCGCCGTGGTGCCCGTGGCCAGGTCTGGTTGCTTCTGAGCTGTGCGTTGCTTTTGCTCCATTTTGATACAACGTGCAGCTCGTCAATGATGCTTTTGTTTTATTAAATTCCTTTCAAAATTTTAAAAATGTTTGCTGCCAGGTTCATTAAAAATACGCGCGCTTTGTTGTGAAATGTTGTAAACATTTTTTCTACCATTCACAAGACCAACGCAATATCAGCTGTTCGTATGTAAAAACATCAGATTAAGAAGAAGAACCGGAACGTTGAGAAAGAAACAAGCAGAAGCGAAAGAAGCAATTACATAAAAACAAAGAGCGGCATTTACAACGTGCTTTCCTGCATTTAGTGCAATTAAAAGCCGCGCACCATCAGAAGTTCTGTGGGGAAGTTGTTAACAGAAGTATGATAGGATATCATTACTTTGATGTGCAACTGTGAGTAGATTGGCAAGAAAAAACTGGGCACAGTTAACAGCACACGTGCCTGTTGTTGTACCAGAGCTGCCCCACAAGCATATTATTTAACAGTTCGTCTTCTGTAGGAAATTTCGTGATTTTGATACCGTTGAGCTGACCCCCATCTATTTTCGGGGCTGCGTTTTAAACTCGCTGGAAAGTTTCTTTGGTGAAATTGGCGGGAAGACCACTTTGGATATAATCAAATTTAGCGTAGAGCAGCGACGTGTTGTTTTCCGGGTGCCCGAAGAGTTCTTTAAGCGCACGCATACAGCAATTACATTGATTGGGCATTACCAGAAAGTGCCCTGTCATTTTCGAGTTTTAAAAACATCTAAAACGCCCCTGGACTTTCAGAAGGATATTGGAGAAAACGATAATTGTGAAGAATCGCAGATAGACGATTGTCAACTATAAGCATGGCGTTCTCGTATTGTAAGGTCTTTGGAAAGGATAAGGTAATCTTTGCCACCAAGGAGGACCATTCTACACCCAGTACCGTGGAGCTACCAGCTCCAGAGCCACCGCAGGGTCTAATTACCAAGGATGGCAGCATCAATTGGAGCTGTCCATGTTTGGGCGGCATGGCAACGGGACCTTGCGGTGTTGACTTTCGAGAAGCGTTTTCATGTTTTCACTACAGCGAAGCGGATCCTAAGGGCTCCGATTGCTATGAGGCATTCCGTAAAATGCAGGACTGCTTCCAGCAATATCCGACAGTCTATAATAAGGCAAATGGTGCAGATGATGATGACGATGCCCTCGGTGACGTTATGAATTCGGATAGCAGCTCCAGTGTTAAGGAAGTTGATGAACTCTCAGGCGGTGCTGGAGCTGCTGCGGCTGCGGCAGCAGATACACATATAACCAACAACAATGCCATGTCGAAAGTGGAATAAAATAAATGATACAAAGTTCTTTAAAATAGTAATAGCTTGTTTTTATTGATTAACAGGTTAGCTCCTATTTAATAACATAACATATCAGCTGTTAGAGTTTTGTTTCATCCCACTTAACAGCTGTTTTAATACCTTACGATTTTAGCTATTTGCTTACTTTTGTAGCTGGACTGTAATTTATATTAAAGTAAATATTCGCTTTATTTATTTGCAATATTTAAGCCTATATTAAAAGCTGTAGCTTTTACTTTCAAAATTTTAAGCGCCTAATAGCGCTGTTCAACATTTATGTACATGTTTTTGGTATTTTCCAGTATATTTGACAAAAACATCTGATTCACTGTTGCAGTTCATTAGTGTCATCTTGTAATCGGCTGGCCACCACAGTTAATCGGCCGACCACCATAAGAAAAATAAGACAAATTGTGAAAAGCGTAACGAAAATGTTGTTAAACGCGTTATAAAATGCTTTATGTGTTAATTAATCTCACATGTGAAACGTTAAAACGTGAATTTAATAGCAAATCTGTGCAAAATTTTAAAGTGCAATAGTTTTTGGGGTTAAAGTGCAATCAATTCGTGCTACTGGGCCAAATATATAAATCAAAACAAGCAAATAACCTTGTGGCAATCGCAGTTCGAGCGCGCTACGAAATCAGTAAATAAAATAGAAAGTCCAATTACCAACAGCCGCCAGTGTAGTGAGTGTTGTGCAGATTGCTTTCGAATAAATATTTGTAATATTCTCAGCAATAATACACATGCCTTAAAATTTCACAACTGTGTTTTCTTCGAAATCAGTTCCCGTGCAGTCAAAAAGTTTGTGCTGCACACTGACAAAAATATACGCACAAACACACACACAAGCAACTACGTACATACGCAGTAACGTATTTGTGTGCATACGAAAGACGGAAAGAGGAATTCGAAAATATACAAAGTACTTCCATTCGGTAGTTTTTTTCAATTCACAAAAAAAAAAAACAACAACACAAAAGTTATAACGAAGAGTCTCAACAGCAAGAACACAATTAACAGGACGGCAACAGCAATAACAGTGATTAGCAACGACAAAGAGGAAAAAAATAGAATAGTTAACAGACAGCAATACATTTACATATTTGAATGCTGCTGAGGCTTCATCATTTCATAAAAAATGGTTTCGTTAATTGATACAATCGATGCGGCAGCGGAGGCTCAAAAGCAACGGAGCGCCGCTGCCGCTGCTGCAGCGACGTCGTCAAGCGCCAACGTCGCTGTCAACGCTGGAGACAAATCGCCGCCCGCTGCTGCTGCAGGCGCTGCCTTGACAGCCAGCGGCAAGCCTAAGGAGAAACGAAGGTGAGTTATGGTCATCCTAATTTGAAATCCCCCACACCCTCTTCTGCCAGATAGGCAAATAAGTAATCTACGCTCCTGCCATGTGATCTGTGTTGGATGGGCTGTTTGTTGCCTATTGCATAAGCGTTTTGCTTTCTTTTTCTTCAGCTGCTGCTGCTGCTGCGTTGTCGTCGTCAGCGTCGCTGTTGTTGCTGTCGACGCTGTTGCTTCAATGACGTTAGCTGCGCATATTTTCAATAGGGTTGACGCTTTTTACTATCCTCTATAATTGCTCACCCTAATGTACACCTATTTGGGCGTGTAGCTTCGGCTTGTTGCAGTTTATAGGGTTGTTACGCTAAAAAAAAACTCTTCACCATTACAACAGTAATAAATCCTACTTTTTGCTCGGTTTATGCAAAGAAACGTCAAAGTGTGACCGTTTCTCTAGCATATGCTAGTCGACATATATGTATGTTCATGTAAATATGCACAGAGATAGCTCTCTTAAGCGGCAAGAAAGCTGTTTGTTTGAAAGATTTGTCGAAGATTTAAAAACACTTGAGAACACACAAAATTAATCGATATTAAGATTTAAGCTTGTTTACAGTTCGTCTAAATTTTGACATATTTTTTTGTTGATAAATAAAAATGGATGATTTGTCAACATTCTTGAATAATCTTTTCGGTTACAAGAGTCTTGTCTTAGTTATATGTTTTTGATTTATACAAATCTTATGGTTTAAAAACTGATTTCCTTATAAAGTCATGCTTCCTGAGCTGAATACAGATTTGTCAATGCCATATTCTTATATATATATATATATGCATATATATTACATATTCATGTATACCTGATGCGATCGAAAATGACCTTAATCGAGTTGCTTGCACACTTCAAGATAAAATGGAAATACCCTTTTGAGAAAACTTTTGCTCTTATCACATATATATAATATATGTGTATATATTTATTTATGTAGCACTTGAAATTTTGACACGTGTTGATGACTAAGTGTATTAACTAATAGACTGTCGGCTGGGCCGGGGGTAGGGGGCAAATTTCAAATACATATAAGAAATCTAAACGTAATCATTAATCACGCTTGGTTTTTGCATTTGCGATAATTATACAGCTTTGGCGAAGCCAGACACTAAAAGCGAACGCGTTGACCGAGACCTTACCTTGAATGTCAGAAGAAGTATTAAAACGAAAACGAAATAAAAGAAATAATAGTACTAAAATCCAATCCAAACCACAAGCGAAATTGCAAAATCATAATTATTTGTCAAGCGATTTGAAATTGAATGTTATCTTGTTGGTTGACCGCCACCAGGAAGCTTATCAGAATATCCTTGACTGCCATTAACGTGCCTGATATTCTATATTTAGAGCAATGCATTTTGTTTTCTTTTTTTTTGCCTGCCTGTATATGGGTTTCCCCCTCTTCTTTAATCATCTCTGCTACGCATTTTTCTGCGTTTATTTATAAAATTAAACAAACAAAAAAAAAAGGGAAGAAAAACCTGTTGTCTTCAGCAGCAACCAGCAACCAGTTTTTATTATGGTCTTTTTTTTGTTGTTGTCAGTTTTGTTTTATCAGTTTGTTTTGTTTTTTTTTCTTGTTTTTGTTTTTGTTTTGATACCCTGTAACCTTTTGAGAATATTTAAAAATAACTTTGTCAAGTTGTGTTTATGTATGCTGCAGAAAATATAGCTGTTGACTATATAGATAAGTGCGACTGAACATAAACCCAAAATGTAGGCTATAGTAAAGAATATGCAAAAAAACGAAAAATAAATTTTACTCTCAAAGGTGGCGTACTACATTGAGAGTACTTTGTTTATATTTAGAGATCGCCCTTCTATGTGATTTTCATAACATCGAGTACCATCTACATTCTGATGATATTTGACTGTCAATTTTACTAGCTTACCCTCTCGCTTTTTATTTTCTCTGCCTTCGCTCGATGCGCACTATCACAGCCTTTCTCTGTACTTCTCACTATCTTACTTATACCTTTTTCTTTTAGTTCTTTTTTCCTCATCGATTCTTACTGTGTACTACTCGCTTTCTTTATTCCTCTCTCTATCGTATCCCTGTCTCTATCCCTGTCAATCGGATTCTCTCGCAAAGCCTTAGCTGCAGCTCTCATGCTCACTCTTTCACTTAGAATAATCCATAGTCATTACTTGAATTCTTGAAAATCGCGTAGAAAGGTCTTGTTTTGTTTTGAACTAAAATAAAAGTGTAGACACTTTTCACGTATGAACAGGGTATGCGCACCTATAACTGCGGAGCTCTTGCTTTGTTTTTGTTTTTTTTTTTTCAGTTTATATTTTTATTTATCTGCCCTTTTTGACTGTCTCCTTAGGCGTGTTGCGTACACGCCCCTCAGGTAACGGCCACGCATTTACCTAAATCATTTACATTGTATTAAGCACGTAAAATGTAAAGTTTATGATGGTTTTTTTTCTCCGATTTGTATATCTATTTTCAGCCTTTTTGTTAAATTTTATAAAAAATGTGCAACATTTGCATTAAACTGAAACATAAGTTTGGCCTACGTGACTTCTGTTGGTTGGATTCGCTGCTGAAAAGCGGTTCTGCGACCGATATAAGTTAAGGAAAATCAAACGCCCAAACAGCAGCCAGTTTTCCAAGCGCACATCTGTTAAACTGGTTTCTCCGGCATTGATTAACTTGTATTTTATTTGTATAACGCCGAGTTATCAGTTGATAGCGACAGCTATGACTGCCTTTGATAATTGATAACTTAGATAACTGTGCCATCACGTGTTTGAATAATTGATATTTCGCGAACAAAACGCTCACGAGAATACAAAATATTGACAAAACACCTTTTGAATGGGCGCGTATTTAACTCTAATTGTATTCATTTGTTTACCCTCTTTTTTTTGTTGTGCGGTGTTTACAATGTGCTACTTTTTAGTTATAGGCAAGAGAATAACATGATGTTTTTAAGCTAATTGTTCCAAGTGTTTCTAGAAAATGTAGTAGAAATTTTATTTTAATCAGCGTTAAAGCATTTTTAGTCGCATTTACTTTTGTTTTCGCATTTCAAAAAAAAAAACGTTTACAAAATATCAAGATAAAAATATTGGTTTTTTATGCGAGGACTATCAAAGTCCACTCGAAAAGTTTCATAGCATTTAGCTATTAGTTGTTTTTTAAAAACTTAGCCTTTTCTTCGAATAGTCTACTTGGAAAGTGTCATAGCATAAGAATTTAGCCTTTTTATTCGTATAGTATATAAGAGAAGTTTTATAGCATATAGCTATACTTTGTACATAAAGTGGTTAAAAATTTACCCTTTTTATTCTTGATAGTCTACTCGAGAATACACAGCGTATAGCTATTTTTTGTTTGTTCTTAAAAACGCTGAACATTTTGCGATTTTTTTCCAATATTCTATTTCTGATGTTTCATAGCATAAGAATTTAGCCTTTTTATTCGTAAGAGAGAGACAAGACAAGTTTTATAGCATATGGCTACTTGTTAACGTTAACGATAACAATTCAGTCTTTTTATTCTTGATAGTCTAAACGAGAAGTTTTTTTAGCATATTTGTCGTTTGTTTTTATGAACTTTAAAAATGTAGCCTTTTTATTCTTGATAGTCTACAAAAGAACGTTCATAGCACATGAATTTAGTCTTTTTGTTCTTGATTATCTACATTCTAAGTTTCATAGCATAAAGCTATGTGTCGTTTCTTCTTTAAGATTATTGAATTTATAATAAAAATCGGTCTATTCAAATAATTATATAAAAAATATTGAATATTATTTGCATTTCTTTTAAATTAATTGTAGAAAGTTTTTAGTAACTAAAAATACTTCGGCAAACAATGCCAATTTATTTGAAAACGATATATAAACATATCGCATTCCATTCCATGCCGCTCACGCTGCCATCACTAGTCACGACCTCATTGTGCACTTGCTTGTCCGCTCGAGTTGATTTACTCGCTAGACATCTTGGCCTTTATAAAAAAAGAATTATTTGAATGCTGTATATTTGACACAGATTTTTGTTAACAGAGATTATGGAGCTATTTAAAATTAAACTTATCGGTTTCTCAAATGTTTTGAAAAAAAAAAATTTGCAGCAAATATAATCAGACAAATTTTGTAAATCAAATAAATACTTGTTACTATATACGCGCACAATTTCATTAGCAAATGTTGTTAAAGCATTAACAGATTTTATGAAAAATGGTTTTTCAATTGTTGTCAATGTTAAAATTAAGCTTAATTAAACTTAGGATTTGACAGCAATGGAGAATTAAAAATATAAACGTTTTCAAATTTGATGTAAGCTAGAAAACAAATTGTAATACAATATTTTTTTAAATTTTGACGACTTGACGAATACAATTTGTAATATTTTGCTTTTCTGATGAATCTGCAAATAATTTTTTTTTCAACTCGGTTTTTATGAGTAATATGTCTTAAGACAATAAACAAATGGCTTAAAAAATGAGGTAGGATACTATAAAACTTAACAGAATTGTTTTAGATCCGACGAGTTCATACAATATGTCTTACATTAAAGTTTGTTAAATTTGGCTTAATTAATACCTCTTGTAAGCGTCGTGTGTTCCTTCTACTGTTGAATAGATCCAAAGCGAAGTTAACCTATTAATAAAGCTCACAGCATATATATTTATTTCATTTATAGCGCTAGTTTGGGGTTTTATGAATATCTACCAAGTTCTTTTGAAGGATTTCTATAGAAATCGCTTATGGATTAAGAATCGCCTTGTAGAGACGAATCTTGTTCAAATCTAGAGCTTAATAATACGAAATTCTTTTACGAAATTTGTAAAGTTGTTTATCTGGCTATATACCTAAAAGAATAGTTTTTTACATTTGCCAATAGATGTTGTTTTTATAACTAAATTATAAAATATCCATTTGACTTTTGTATACCCTTTACATGAAACGTATAACGCATAGAAGAAGACCACATTATGATCGGTACTTTTATAGAAAACTT